CAAGAGAACTTGCCCTATATGACACACTGTGATGGAGAGCTGGGTCGCCAGATCCCCTTACCACAATGGCATGAGGCAATGACAAACACAAAACGGGCCTCAAGGAGTCTTTCGGTCTGGGAATCTTATTGCAAAATCACAATGAGATGGTATCTGGTTCAGCATAGATTATCACGCATTTATAGTGACTCTTCTGGGTTGTGCTGGAGATGTGGGAAGGGAACGAGCACCATGTTACAAATGTTCTGAAACTGCCCGGCACTAGGGGCTTTCTGGAAGCAAATACAATGTCTCACTACACACCTCCTCTTCCAATTAAAGCCAGAATACTACCTCCTACATATGATACCTGATCTAGCAGTACATCCTCATTGCAAGGTGATATTAAACACACTCACAGTAGCAAAAGTACACTTAGCACTCAATTGGAAGAGTACAATCATTCCCTCCATAGAAGCTATTAGTAGCAGACAAGACACAATATGCTCATACAACTAATGGCTTGCAGACTAAACGGCTGTGCGGACAAACAAGACCGCGAATGGGTTAGCTGGTTATCTAGACGACAGGTAGCACCCCACTGACAGCACTACTGGGAAACAACTGATGATAAGCTGATTTCTTGGAAGAGGAGAGCTATGAACAATAGCTATTGAATAAACAACTAGCTATGGCAAGATGGGGACTCTATGCCGTCCCTCCCTTTTCTTTTCTGTATCCGTTTCCCTATCCACCACCCAGTATTATAAAATTGTAAAACAGTAAAACACTACAAATTCATGTTAAATGTGAACTGCAAATGGTTACAGCAGCAGACCCTCCCTCCCAGACCCTCCCACCTCGTGGACAGCTCACTAAGAATGCAGCTTCACAATGGATGCTGTCCAGGAGGTGGGAGGGTCTGGGAGGGAGGGTCTGCTGCTGATTGGCTGGAATGTGTCTGCTGACTGTGAGGTACAGGGTCAAAGTTTACTCAATGATGAGTCCGTGGCAAACCGTTTGCGGCGAACCGTTCGGCGAACAGTTCGGGACATCACTAGTTATTAAACATTTCGCCCAGACCAGAATAGAGCAATGTCTTACTAGAAAAATGATGTGCCCACAACTAACGAATGTTTTGCTTGTTTAACTGTGTTAAAACAGAAATATGTTTCCCTATCGTTGTATCACAGTTACTATTCATTATCATGTGTTGAATATGATGCAAACACTTGAGGTGATATACATTTCTGCCTTGTTGAATCAATAAAAATGATATATGATAAAAAAAAAAAAGCATTCCTTTATGTTGTTGATTTAAAAGACGCCAAACGACACCCCAACTGAAGTGATTTAAATTTGCCACAAGAAGGAAAAAAAATTGTCTCCACAGCTGCAATCAGATTTTTCATTCGATCAACAACCTGTTCACACATATTAATTTTATCTTTTAATATATTCTGTTTTTGCAAAAAAAAAAAGATATTGGCCCTTTAAAAAATTTTTTCTATAAATCTGACAAAAAGAGAATTTCACATGTTTATTTTTCTTACTCTTTCCTCTGGTGTAAGTGAAATCGCCTTTCTTCCAGTCTCAATCGGTTACCTTTTCTTTGTTGTATATTCTGGCTAATGAACAGCTTAGCACATAGCGGCTTGTACTGACCCTTGATATATATGGATTGTGCTAGTATGTGCCCTTTTGAGATGCCTTTTTTTCTCAAGAAAAGAAATGCAGATTTTCTATCTTTTCATAACTAATGTGTTCCATCCCCTTATTAATTTTGTAGCTCGCTCTGCATTTTTTCTAGTTCTGAAATATACTTTTTAAAAATTGGTTCCCAAAACTGCACAACAATTGCAGTAACGTTTTTGGGCAATTCGGACATTTGGGTACTTCTGAATGTCCGAATAGATGAATTGCCGAATGGTTGAAGTCCCGAAATTACCGAATTGCTGAAGTGCCAAAGTTCCGAAGCACAGTATTGCCTAAGAACTAATATACTTACCTAGTGGAAGAATGAAGAATGTTACACTGTATACAATTTTAAATAAAATGTATACAAACATAGCCAGGATTCAGCTGTAAGCATTTGCAACACTTACAACAATCAAGTAACACACATTCATATAAAATGTAAGTTACTTAGCCAGTCAGTGTAATGACAGGAATGAATAAGTAGATAACTCCCTAATTCCCACGGTATTAGGGAACTATCTACTAAAAGGCTGAAAGACCTAAATTGGTCTTTCAGCCAAATTTAGTAAGTAAAGATTACTTAGTATTAGTAAATTATGCCCCTACTCGCTATACTGCGAGTAGGGACATGTCTATTAAACAGTGAACCTATGGCTGCTCACTTTAAAAAACAAAACAAAAGGTCCCCCCCACCCCTGAATGGTGGGTGGGGACCCTAAATACTAATAAGGGGGGGGGACTGTAGCGGAGTAGCAAGGGTTAATCCACGATCTCTCCGCTGGTAACCAGGAATCAGCATACAGAACACAGGTAGCATAGTATAATCCCTTTTTCCCAATGACTAGACGACACATAGTCTGGGAGTCAACTGAGGGCTTTATTGAAACAGCACCAAATTTATATGATTTTCACTGTACAGGGTTTCCAGACTGGGACAGCAGGGGTTTTAATCAGGGGGACTGTGTGGGAAACTGACCGTGCAGGGTCATTTCCCAGCATCCCCTGCTGTACAAGGACAAAGATGACATCATCAGGCATGGATAATTATATTAACAGTGGTTACAGTAAAATCTGGTATTTTACATTAAAATGTACAATTTAGGTAATTTCCAACAGATTCCCCTCATTGGATTGCAGGGATCTGAATGTACAATCTCACAAATTACTGCTCAGATCCCTACAGAAATAGGCGAACGCCACACAGAAAACCATTTTTAGTAAACCAGGTCTAGAAAGGGAAAACTCACAAACGGCTTTAATTCACTAAAAGAACGAGTTTCCCGAACGCTATGGAAGTCCAGTGGTGTTTGGAAATCAAGTAGCTGATTTGAGTTCCAGGCGCTCGACGACCAAACACAGTTGAACTCTTAGCAAACAAAGATGTTCGGTACACGAACGGGGGCCACAAACACACAAAAACAATTGAACACTTGCAACAATGTTGCAACTGGGGTGGTCTCTCGTTCGGTAGTTAGATAGTTTCCCGAACAGTATTGCAGATTACTGTTCGGGAAAGGGATGCTGGATCCCCATAGAGGAACCATAGGTGATACGGCCATTTAAAAGTCCCGAACACAGTTTAGATTAAGAAAGTCTTTTCCAGTCTCCAAGTGGCTGTGTTTGCCACAATGCTCCCCCGGCATACACAGTCTGATCCTAACGGATCGGCTTGGGGATGTCAGGAGGGGTGCCCAGAGATCACTTCTCGAGTTCAGTCTGTCTGGATAACCAGTCGGCATTGCCATTTTGCTTCCCAGGGCGGTATTGGATGGTGAAATCAAAAGGCTGCAGCGCCAAGCTCCAGCGCAACAGCCTGGCGTTGTCTCCTGACACTCTGTTTAGCCACACCAATGGGTTGTGATCTGTGAGCAGTGAGAATTGTTGTCCATATAAATAGGGCTGCAGCTTCTTAAGGGCCCATACCACAGCCAGGCATTCTTTCTCGATGGCGGCGTAGCTTATTTCCCGGGGTAAAAGATTTCTGCTTAGGTAAGCCACTGGATGCTCGCCGCCATCGGCTCCGACTTGGCTCAGCACTGTTCCCAATCCAAACATAGAAGCATCTGTATGGACGAGAAAGCGTTTAGTTGGATCAGGAGCGACAAGTACCGGTGCATTTATGAGAGTGTTTTTCAGTTCTTGGAATGCCTGTTCACACTCTGGGCTCCAGGTGACTACTTTAGGAAGGTTTTTACGGGTAAGGTCGGTGAGGGGCTTTTCTAAGGCGCTATAATTGGGCACGAATTTCCAGTAATAGCCTGCGTTACCCAAAAACGCTAGAACCTGTGTTAGTACGGGGGGTTGGCCACTTTGCTACGGCCTCTATCTTGGCTGGTTTGGGCTTTTGCTGTCCGCTCCCTACCCTGTGCCCTAGGTACTGTACCTCGGCCATCCCTATGTGGCACTTGCTAGGCTTAAGGGTCAGTCCTGCCTCCCTAATGCGGTCTAGTGTAACTCCTATGTGGGTTAAATGCTCTTCCCAGGAGTTGCTAAAGATGGCTATGTCGTCTAGGTAGGCACATGTCATCTAGGTAGGCGATCCACCATCCTCTGAAAGGTAGCTGGGGCGTACTTCATCCCGAATGGCATGACCTCGAACTGGTACAGTCCAAACGGGTTGACGAAAGCTGACTTAGGAATGGCGTCCTCAGCTAGTGGAATCTGCCAGTACCCCTTACATAGGTCTATTGTGGTGAGGTACTGGCCCCTGGTCATTTTATCTAGGAGCTCATCTATCCGTGGCATAGGGTAGGCATCAGAGACAGTTTTATCATTAAGCTTCCGGTAGTCTACGCAGAAGCTGGTAGTGCTGTCCCGCTTCGTCACTAGAACTACCGTAGATGCCCAGGGGCTATTGGAATGTTCTATCACCCCCAACTGCAACATCTCGTCAATCTCCTTCCGCATATTCTCCCTTACGGATTCCGGTATGCGGTATGGCGGTTGACGTAGGGGGTTTTGCCCTGGGGTTTCTACCCTATGGGTTGCTAGTAACGTATACCCTGGTAAGTTAGAGAACGTGTTCTCTTTTTTTTTTTTTTTTATTCTTTATTTATTCCAGTACAAGACATCACAAGCAGTTCACATACATCAACTCGTCGATCAGCATAAATAAGCACATACACTGAGATTATAGCACTTTACATCCGCAAAATGAATTAACAATCAAGTTCACCCAAATCCCACCATCAGAGATCACAAAGTATCAGCATGTTTCCGATCTCCAGAGTAGACCGCAGTCCAAAGTAGGCTTGGATATCCCGCCTGGGTTTTTACAATATATAAAACAGTAAACTGATAACAGACATTACAGAAAGAACGTGTTCTCTTTTTCGCTGATTAACTCTAATACCTGGGCCCGCTCTTAGGGGCTCAGATGCTCACCCAATTGTACCTCTCCCAGACCTTCGTTCTGGTCCTCATTTCCTATGAGGTCATGAAGAGGCAAATTGTCAGAGTCTTCCGATGCAGACACGCAAATAGCATTGACCTCCTCTGCACGTTCGTGGCTTAAGGGTCAGTCCTGCCTCCCTAATGCGGTCTAGTGTAACTCCTATGTGGGTTAAATGCTCTTCCCAGGAGTTGCTAAAGATGGCTTTGTCGTCTAGGTAGGCACATGTCGTCTAGGTAGGCGATCCACCATCCTCTGAAAGGTAGCCGGGGCGTACTTCATCCTGAATGGCATGACCTCGAACTGGTACAGTCCAAACGGGGTGATGAAAGCTGACTTAGGAATGGCGTCGTCAGCTAGTGGAATCTGCCAGTACCCCTTACATAGGTCTATTGTGGTGAGGTACTGGCCCCTGGCCATTTTATCTAGGAGCTCATCTATCCGTGGCATAGGGTAGGCATCAGAGACAGTTTTATCATTAAGCTTCCGGTAGTCTACGCAGAAGCTGGTAGTGCTGTCCCGCTTCGTCACTAGAACTACAGTAGATGCCCAGGGGCTATTGGAATGTTCTATCACCCCCAACTGCAACATCTCGTCAATTTCCTTCCGCATATTCTCCCTTACGGATTCCGGTATGCGGTATGGCGGTTGACGTAGGGGGTTTTGCCCTGGGGTTTGCTAGTAACGTATACCCTGGTAAGTTAGAGAACGTGTTCTCTTTTTCGCTGATTAACTCTAATACCTGGGCCCGCTCTTGGGGGCTCAGATGCACACCCAATTGTACCTCTCCCAGACCTTCGTTCTGGTCCTCATTTCCTAGGAGGTCAGGAAGAGGCAAATTGTCAGAGTCTTCCGCTGCAGACACGC